GGAAATTTCCTGCAATTGTTCGGCCTCTGCAGCCAGCTTATTCAATGGAAGCTCAACAGCTAAACCAGATAATACCGCTGTCTTGTCTGCTGAAGACACTTAATTTAAAGCTAGCGATGAATGGAATCAACTAGGGTTGATAAACCAGAAAATCCTGGCATGTGTCGCAGTTGAGGCGGTGTACATTTACCTAGCTTAACTCCCAAAAATAAGTTCGGAGGCGTGTCTCGTCGTATAAAGTAATGCGTTTTAAGATAGCTTATTATAGCTTGTCATAGGGTGCGTCAGTCGGCATATGTTCAAGCGTATCCGGGGACTCGGCAGTCACGTGTGTAGGTAAATGAGTAGTACCATAAAAACTTAGTAGACTTTGTGCTGCTCTCACCGAAGCAGTATATATTCTACTTGTATAAAACGGACATGTAGGTTTGAACAAGTCGAAGGATGGCAAAGAAGATGTGAAGGAATGTTCACATAACTCTTCAGAATTTGCTAGTAAAACACGATGAAGCAAGTGGTAACAGGTTCCAAAATAAATATGGGTCACCAGTTTATCTAGATAACTGTTACCTATTAAGTTCGAGTGCGGAGGCAAAAGTCAACCTTGAGCAAAGGCTTACAATAGATAAACTATCAAGCACACTTGCTATATAAGTCTTCCGTCAGTTAACGATAGTCGGATGCTGACTAGCAGTTCGAAGGTATAAATCCGAGTACTGGAATACTTATCGAAAACACAAACGGCACCCAAATCTAGCAAGATGCGCGCGCGTTGGATTAGTGGTATACATAATTGGTGCTTTTGCACATATGGTACAAAATGGTCGGTAATGGAAGTGCTAAAAATAAAGACAAGAGCTAGTGTAATCCCAACCACTACACCTTTCAGTTACGCAAGACCAAGTCAGGAATGCATGCAGATACGGAGAAAATGTACGGCAGCTCCTGCTGGTTATTAACCCCAGTACAAGAACTTTCTTTTGCCAGCAGCGTGATCGCGTTCCATGTCACTTATTCTTCGCCTGAGCCTAAAGCCTTAGGTGATATTGATCACGCCTGGTTACCCAGATGCCATATACTTTCAAAAAGAAATTTCTAACTTCGCGCTTCTAACGAACGGTACGCATCAACTTCAACAATGCTGACGCCTGTACCACAACTAGCCGCTGAGTAACGGGATATAGCCTAGGATACCCGAACTGGAACAGGTGGGAATTCCACAATAATGCACGAACCATTTCATAATACAGTTGTAGTATCTGTAACAAGAAGATTTAACAACAAGTAACGGTTGTGCATCACACCATTTGCCTTTCACATTCTTCCGCTTGCACTGCACACATCAAGACTGAACGAATCGATACCGAAAACCACTGGAAAATGCTTCCCGGTATGTTGATAATGATTAGTCGCAATAAGCAATGATCCCCAAGCAATCTCGAACTATTTTTGAAACCGATTCATATCAAGTTGGAACTGCTCGATTGCCTTGTATCACCCAGTATTAGTCAATAGATATAAGTGGAACCGTTCCGCGTGGTTGAAAACAAAAAAACGCGCAAAAATGTTCCACAGCGCACTCAAGAATGCACACCCATGGGATTTTCCAACTGTTCTCGTCCCAACTTGAACTTAGACTGAGAATGCTCCGATACTTCTCCGCCGTCACCTTTTCTACTCGGTTGGTAAACGACCGGAACAGCCTCCCAGAAACCCTCATCAGCGCACAGACTGAGGAATGTTTCAAGCCGCTTTTGGATTCCCATCTATGCAAGGTACCTGGACAGCGCCGTTCCGCTGCGAATTCCCTAGCATCTTGAAGACCGTCGGGTTGGTAAGACTATCATTAACTTTGCTGCGACCCCACTGCTCTTCGCGGAATTTCCCGAACCGAGCATACTGCACCTATCAGCTGTCCTTCACATCAGCAGGTCAAGATCAACTAGGGCTACTGTATGCGCTGAACAGAGCCGTTGCAGCTCCTTAGGTCTACTACGACCTACGTACGCACTGGACACGGAGGCCCTTTGAAATCCTCGACCGGACTCACGCTACATATTTGGCAACCCTGCTAGTTCTTGACAGTGCTCCCTGTAGCTGGATCGCTGCCCTTGAGGCTATCATTGACTTTTCTGTGACCACACTGCTTTTCGCGGAATCTCGAAACGAACACGCTGCACTCATCAGTTGTTCTTCACATCAGCAGGTCCAAAGTAACTGGGCTACTGTAGGCCCTGATCATCACCTGTCAATGGAGGGATAATGTAGCAGGTCCGAGCGTGACCTTGCGGTGACCCCTAAGGTAAGGAGACCGTTGCACCTCGCGTAGACGGCCGTTCATTATTCGTTTTTCCTCTACCTTCACGTTCCTTACTAGGTGGTTATGATATGAGCGGGAGAGCCTATGGTGCGCTGAGGCTGGTGGTGGCTAGATCCTGACAGATGGTCTACCCATTGCTGCTACTGTTGCGCCATTGGCTCATGTCCTGGACGCCTCGTGGCGACCGCTGGGTGGGAGTTGGGTTTCGCCCTTCTCCCTGCTAAGATCCAAGACACCAATCCGCATGAGTCAGTGAACTGACCATGTGCTAGACCCGCTGCCTTTCGGGTGTTCATTTAATCGAAGGCTTTGGCTGAGGACCCGAGTCGTTCTCCTGTCATGTGTGGGCTCCCTGTCAATATGCTAGTCCATCCTCTTCGTGATATAGCAACTTGGACGCACGCACGGAGTGGGCACGCTCACCTGCTCGACTATGTCATCGTACGTCAGCGTGATATGCGTGAAGTGCGCATGACATGTGTACTGCGTGGGGCTGAGTATGACACTGATCACAAATTGGTTCGGACTAAACTGAACATATATTTCCGTAAATCTATGTATTGTACTCCCGCTGTGAATCGGCGTAAATTTAACATTCTCTCCCTCGATACTGTGGCAAAAGGTACTGAGCTGGAGAAGTCGATGGCTACACGCCTGTGTGATGTGGACTGCATAGCCACAGTGGGCGACCTGTGGCACCACATTGGCGACCAGGTGACAGCTGCTGCCGAGGAGACCATCGGGCGCGCAAACTGTAAACGGCCTGATTGGTTTGATGACAACAATGTGACGATTGGCGCATTGGTGTCAGAGAAGAATGCAGCATTTGCTGCACATGTGGCAGACCCCAGTGACTTGGCGAAGAGTAGTCAGTTTTGCAAACTTCGACGACGACTGACCCGAGAGCTCCGTCGCATTAAAAATGCATGGTGGACGGAGAAGGCGAAGCAGATGGAATGCTACGCCGAACGCCGCCAACACAAGGAATTCTTTGACTCCTTGAAGGCGGTGTATGGACCGAGATTAGAACCTCTGAGGACACTGATCTGTGGTAGTTCAGGCGCTACTTGCACCCAGACTGCAGACATAATGCAGGTCTGGCGGAAACACTTTGACTGTCTCTTGAACAATCGTTCAGAGATCGACTGGCCTACATTGATCGGCCTGGAGCAGCACGATGTGAAGGCGGATCTGGCGGATACGCCGACAATGGATGAGACGCAGAGAGCACTTGCTCAGCTGCGAAACGGCAAATGTGCCGGAGGTGACGGGATCCCACCTGAAGTATTGAAACATGGTGGACCCGCGTTGTTGACTGCGCTGCACCACTTGGTGCAACGCGTGTGGATTGAGGAGGAGGTGCCTCCTGAGCTGAAGGATGCCCTTGTGCTACCACTGTACAAGGGCAAAGGTAGCAAGCAATGTTGCACGAATTATCGTGGCATCAACTTGCTGAGTTGTGTGGGCAAGGTGATTGCACGAATCCTGCTCAATCGCCTCGTCAGTCAGGTTGTGGAACCTAACGTGGCGGAAGAGCAATTTGGATTCCGTTCGGGTCTCAGCAATATAGGTATAGTGTTTGCGGCTCGTCAGTTGCAAGAGAAGTGCAGAGAACGACACCAGCCATTGTACTCGCTTTTTGTTGATTTCACCAAGGCATTTGATACGGTGAACCGCGAGGCATTGTGGATGGTGTTGGGTAAGTTTGGTTGCCCGCGTAAGTTTGTAAGTTTCATTGAATGTCTGCACAGTGGTATGCGAGCGAGGGTGCAGCTGAGTGGAGAGACCTCGGATGACTTTACAGTTGTCTCTGGTTTGAAGCAAGGCTGTGTCTTAGCTCTTGCACTGTTTAATATATATATTCATGCCATGACGTCTTGTGCTTTTGATGCCGCTTGTGCTTACGGTGTTCGTGTGGAGCACCGTATTGATGATGGGTTGCTGAACATCCGTCGTTTCGGTGCGAGAACCCTAGTCTGTGAGACAACTATCCGTATGTTGCTGTTTGCTGACGACTGTGCGTTGTTTTCACACAGCGCGGATGAGTTGCAGCACATGACTAGTGCTCTGGCTTCGAAAGCGACCAAATTCGGGCTCACCATCAACACAAGCAAAACTGTGTGTCTCTTTCAGCCTTCACCGGAGGTGCAATCTTCAATATTGCCGCGAATCAGCATTGGGGCTGAAGTATTGGAAACCACCTCCCGCTTTTGCTACCTTGGAAGTGTGAAATCGACTGATCAGCAGTTACACGTTGAGTTGCGTATTCGCGTGTCGAAGGCAGCAGCAGCATTCGGGAAGCTTGAGTACCGAGTGTGGAACAACCATCAGCTTACCATTGGCACGAAGCTGATTGTGTACAAATCCATGGTGCTGTCCGTTCATCTATACGGCAGTGAAACGTGGACGATGTACCGTCGGGAAGTGCGATATCTTGAGCGGTTCCATCAGCAGTGTTTGCGACGAATTTTGCGCATCATTTGGGACGACAGAGTTGCAGACACCGAAGTGTTGCGGCAAAGTGATATGTAGGCGGTGGACTGCATAATTTTACTGAGACCTGAGGTGTCTCGGTCCTGTGAGCCGTATGGATTCGACGCGGATACCGAAACAACTCTTATACGGTCAGCTGAGTATTGGGATGCGGCATATGGGGAAGCCAAAGCTACGTTAGCAGGACATGATCAAAGTGAGCCTCTCACGTTATAATCTTGATTGCAGGTCATGGGAGTCGAAGGCGGTTGATCGGCGTGAATGGCGCGATTCAATCACGAGGGCAGTTACGGAAGTGGGGGAGAAAGACCTCATGCATGCAGAGAAGAAACGGCAAGTGCGGAAACGACAAGCACCGATGGACTGTACTCCATCGACATCGAATGCATGGTGCTGTATCACGTGCGGTCGCGAGTGCCTGAGTCAGGCAAGCCTAGTGAGCCATAAGCGAGGCCACTCGGGACTACTACCGTTGCGGCGACGGTTCCTGCAGAGAACGTAGACTGAATCGGCGCAGCGTTTGTAGGTACGCTGCATTCGATTTACTAACTGCGTGCTTGCATGCTGTCTTTTTATTTCAGGTGGTGCGTTTTCAATTTTGCCCTAATGCATTTCTTTTTCATATAAATGTCTACCTGTACTCTATTCCATTAACTTGTGCACCTCGCTTAAGCCAATAGTATTCGATTTCCATAACATTTTCGTGTTCGTGGCATTTCCGTAAAGTATACTTTCTGACCTCGTGAACTTATCTTGGATTCGCTTGTAAAAAACTTTGTCACCGTTTCCTTACGCAATACTCGAGTTATTTTATTTGTATATTCTCTCTCTCTCAAGTGATTGGCTGTTGCTTGATATCCCCAGTGTGGCTGCGCTTGATGTGCATGTCGACAAGGTGCCTACCTGTCTTTTACCCACTGCCTCGTCCATACTGGCACCAGGAGACAGTTGGTCGTTGCTAGAGAGGACGGGGTACACGGTCCTTGTGGCCGTGTTAGGATCAAAGAGTGGTTCCATGCAGTCAGTGTGGAGCGGACTACGGTTCAGCCACCGCCTTGTGTGTGCGCTTGATTCCCAACTACAGCGTGCTTGTGTTTGCTGTTAAGGAGTGTGGGCTGGCTCTGTTGATGAAACGTAGCTCCCATTTGCATGCATCCCGGTCTTATTCCTTCGGGTTTACACTGGATATGGGGTGTGTGGTTGGAGCTGTGGGTGGTGCAGCGCAAGCCACCCATGGTCCCTTCTGTAGGCGCAGGCGTCCTGTGGCTTGCCACAGTGACAGGCAAATCCGAAACCGGATGCCGCCAACCATGATATGAGCACCAAGCCACCTACGAGGTATTTCCTTTTCGTTGCAGCTCCCCAGAGCTACTACGACTTACGTACACACTGGAAACGGAAGTCATCGAAATCCTCGACCGGACGCATACTACATGTGCTGAACTCGTTTCACCTATGTGCCTGGAAATTCTGTGTTTCGTCGAGCCAACACTTGGAATATCATCTATCGGCCATTTCGTCAGGAACTGTGAGTTCTCTGTAGAATTATCCAAGCGGGCAACGTCTGCGTAATCCTTTCCTTTCTATGGCATTGATTAGTTTCTTCTGGTGCGGTACCGTAAGACTAATCAGAACCTCATTACAGGTCCATTACAAATATGCATTGTGCTTTTATGCTGCCGCTGTTAGGCCTACTTCATCTTTACCGAAGCAACAGCTCTTTAACCATGTGTTCTACTGTCTTGGACACGTATTAGTAGCCTGATAAAGGTTTTTGGTAAATGTTGTCAACCCGAAACAATTATTCTACGTACTAGTTTTAAAGACATTTCGCATTTTTACTTTTTTGATTGCCACATTTGGTTCTTGTATTGTGTACCACTTTGCGATCACATGCGCCTGAGGACAACGTGGGTTACTCATGTTATCTGGTTTTTATTTTGTTAGGATGACACTGAGGAGCTCACGAATGAGACAACCTTCGAGTCTCTGTATTCTGAGGCCAAAGCCCGAGCCCACAGATATACACACGTCAGCAGCATCTCCGAATAGCGAAACCATCATTGCCATCTTAGGTCCTCAGGAGAATGACCTATCAGATTCCAAGGCTCAGTGTACTTCCAATCGGATGTCGAAAACTGAAGAAGACGCTGCTGTGAGCTCTCCGGACGAACCTTCTAAATGCGCTATTGGAGCAAGGACAGCTCCGCCCGTTTCTCAGAAAGGTATTGCTCAACAGTGGGCACACATACATAATTATACAAATAATTTCACACCTTGCCAATTGTTATATGCGGCACAGTAGCTGAGGTGTTTCCCACCTCTAGCTAACGTGTATGATGATGATGATGATTTATTAGATTACCCCTGCATGTGGATGAAGGTGATAGAACGGATAAACTGCGGCCTTAGGAGTAGAGTTCCGTGGTGCGCATTTCGGCATTGTCATTAAGTGTTTACAATTAGGCATGCTCGTGGTTTTAGAGTCTAATAAGACTTTAGTTCCCAGTACTGTTGTAGCAGTTGTCGGAGTAAATTCGTGAGTGCCACAATTGTGCATGAACCGATGAACTGAGCTGAAGCAGACGTTCCTGCACCGAGCAAACGAGTCTCGAAAGGGGAGATTAGTAGAACAGGAATAAGTCAAGCACCTTGAGGTTTACTGAACATGTGCGCAAGGGATGGGGATCGTCTTTCAGGTCGCCAAATGTTGTTCGAGGTCTTCGACGTCTGGTTTGGCATGTGGACCCATAGAGACCGGTCGTGGATGCCATAACCAAATAAGCAGATCGCACCAGCAGCAGTTTCTGCATGTAGTGTACACGTCATTTGCTTGAGGTTATAGCAATTAAGATGACGAGACTAAATGTGGTACGATAGTTCAGCTGTTTCGAAGATCTATTGGGCTAATCTTCTTAGTGCTTTTCGTACCTTCTAAACCATTCACACCACTTTGGCCAGTGTTTAGAGGTCGGATAAACACAGTTTCCTGATTCTACAAAATGGGGGCTGGAGTGTGGGTGCCTCTTTAGTACTTAAAACCGACTGTGTTGCCTAGTCCCCAAAGCCCGTGGCGTTACGGTTAGCTTTTTGGATTAAAAGCTTTGGATGACAATCCTAACCGTTCTTCTGTCTAAGCATGGGTAACCTTACATTGTCATACCCATACTATACAATGAATTTCTCTTCAAACAATTCCTTGATGCTCTGGCTATCACAGAAGTGAACTAACGGCGCTCTACCTACTACATCATGCAAATTTGATAGGGGTGAGGATGCTACTGCTCATGCCATCCCGTCTTTTTATTCCTGCTCTTGCGCTTTTTCATCTTTATCGACCCTATCATTTTTATCCCCTCATAATTCTCAGTTCTCCGCCTTACTTTGATAAGCTTTTGTCTTCTATTTTCAACTCACACAATCGTAGGGCGTAGCTCCAGTCCAATCGATAAGTTTTGCTCCAATCCCAAACTGCTGTACAGACACGTAAACAATTTGCGCCGTGTTAAGCGCGGTATTCCTGCTCTGCACACAGCATGCGGGTTAGCGCAAACTACACAAGAGGCGGCCAACGTTCTTGGACAACAATTTGGCCGTACCTTCTAAAGCGTGGAATCCTCATACATACTGCCTAAGCAGATAACGCGGCCATCAGGTTTTAATCACATATCGTTCACCTCCGCAGCTGTACTGAAGAGGCTGGTGCTTGCGCGAGTTCAGATCCCCGGGTGCGGACGGCATTCGCTCGAGGGTGTTGTAAGTTGCTGCCATAAGTTTGGCGGCGCCACTAGCAATTTACTTGCAACTGTGTCTGAACGAGATGCACGTCCCCACGATTTGGAAGCATGGAATCATCACGTCAATCTACAAAAGTGGCAGTTGTGCCGAACCAGCAAATTATCGCCCGATAACACTACTTCCTGTGATCTTCAAGGTTATGGAGTCCATTGTAGCTGAGACTTTGATGGGGTACCTAGAAAACAACAAAAATCTCGTACCAGAGCAGCACGCATTTCGCCAATATCGCTCCTTTACCACTATTTTGTTGATTGCTTGTGCAAGCTGGACGGAATCTGTGGACGCTGTTGTATGAGTCGACGTGGCCTACTTGGATTTCCCAAAGGCATTCGACCGTTTAGACCATCGCATTCTCCTCCCCAAAACTCCAGAAATAGGGAACCGACGGTCCTGTTCTGGGCTGGATAGGAGACTTTCTCGTGCAACGTCACCTGAATGTGAGGGTTGGAAGCAACCTGTCGGAATCCATCGAAGTTCAGTGCGGCGTACCTCAAGACTCGGTACTTGGACCCCTCCTGTTCTTGGTTTTCATAAATGATCTCGCGAGTGTGCTGTCTTCTAACTGTTTGCTTTTTTCTGATGATCTAAGGGCATGGGGTACTATAGCTGCAGTGGAGGATCACACAGTGTTACAGGAGGACCTGGACAAAGCGTACACATAGTCCATCGAGAACGTGCTGCATTTCAACGTCACCAAGTGCAAAGTTATCAGCATAAGGTACAAGAGTATGCACAAGTACCGCCTAGGACCACAAATTCTACAGCGGGCTTCTCACGAGAGCGATCTCGGCGTGCTAGTTCAAGATGACCTCGGTTGTTTGAGGCAGACTAAAAAGGCGTCAAAGAAAACAAACCAGTACCTCGGCCTTCTTCGCAGAGCTTTCGGGAAGTTTGGCCCTTCCGTTTTTCCAAAAATGCTTAGTGCGTACGTGAGGCCGCACGCGGAATACGCTATTCAAGCGTGGCCACCCTGGCTCAAGCACCATCTCACCGCTCTCGATAGTGGACAGCGTAGGGCAACGGAGAGCGTCAAAGTTTGACCAGCCTCCCCTACCCACTCAGGCTGAAGACTCTCAAACTATACAGTGGACGTTATCGGCGACTAAAGGGTGATCTCATAATGGTGTGCCTGATCCTGTGAAACCCCAACCACCCATGCCATTCCCTTCTGATACTCAATCAAAACACCCCGGTAAGAGGTCATCGGTTTAAGCTGATCACGCAGTTCAGCCGCCTGTAATGTCGGTGAAACTATTTCTCCCTTCGAGTATCACAGCCTTGGAACGCCCTCCCGGAACATGTAATTAATGCACCCACCCTATCCCTTTTCAAAAAACGCCTTGACGATACTCTGTCCATTCTACTCTACGTGCTATAGCCCATGATCACCAGATGCTGGCACTAATGCACAGCAGACAATGGATAGTGCCATAACCCTACTCGAAAATGAGTCACTCCAAACCGCTTACACAAAATTTGATGAACGCTGTTACTACAGAAACTGGATTTCGGTATCCCGTCGACCCAAGATAGTTGCAAACGAGTAACCGTGGCCCTTGCTATTTTTTTTCTTTTGCCTATTACGTGACCAATAACCAGTCCCCTCATGGCTTTGTGTGCGTACATTACAATTTCAAACCCTTTATACGGCAGTGCAGTTAAATCTGTAATCGCCCTAACCGACGATTCCATTATCCCTTGATCTATCTTTTCTCACTCTAAACACCCTACGGGACATGTCAAGCACCTGCTTTTTTGCTCGTTATAAATCATTGTTCATGTTTCGCAACGTTTTAGGCAGTATACTCTAATCGATTTTTATCCCGGGTTATATGTTATTCAGTCTAAATATTTCAGACGGGATTTTTGTTAACCACATAGGGTGCCATTATTTTTCTCTTAATGGTCATCGTTTGGTCAATTGCAATAAGCAGTTCTGATTCCATTCGCCACAACCCACAACGTTTCGTCTAAACTTTTATTCTTTTGTGCCTTGTAGCACTGTCAAGTTCTTGTTCTCCGTTTCAGAAAAGCGGCCTCATCAATGCAACTACTGTGAGAAAGCGTTTTCTTTTATGAGCGGTCTCCGACTTCACGAGCAGTCTGTTCACCTGAGTGAGTAGATTGTTGAATGCATCGCTCTGTCGCAACCATTTTTCTTTTTCTTACGGTTGGGACGGAACTTCCAGTTGGATATATTGACGAATGTTTGGAACCGATGAAATATGCCATTCTTATCGTAGGCGTTCGGTGAGTACCATTGGGCTGCTTCTGTATCAGGTAACTCGCGTCACAAGCTGCCCCAATGCGATTCGACGTAGGCTAATCACGTTTTACATAGATGTTACTCACCACCGTGTTATGTTTTTCCAGAATCAACAAAACAAATGAAGATGCTGATTTTTTGTCTACATGTTTGCGGTGATCAGCTTGAAGTAGCAAGGAGTGACTAATTCTCATCTCATTTCGGAACATGTAATTTGAATTTCACAGATGGCTAAGTCTGTACAGTGTGTATAGGCTTGACAGAAGACAGATCTCTGTATAACTGTATTATTCACCAATGCGCGGGATCCTTGCGATGCGTGCGGTCCAATTTGGTGCCCTGTGCTCGATCTTGAAACATGTGGTCAACTTGCAATCATCATCTGCTGTTGTCTTCTACATGGGAATATAGACATTGGTCGGTCGGTGGCCGAGTGGTCTGCACACCTGCTGGAATCATAACGTCATCGGTTCGAATCCGCGTTAGGGCGGGCGTCCTCTCGGTTTGCTCGGCCCACGCGGGGCTGGTTGTAGTCGCGCGGCAGCGAAGCGCCGTTACGGTTTACTGTTGACACATTATTAGACGTCCCTATTTACCCTCGCAGAAATCGGACGGCATTTGGAGTGTTCCTTACGTTCAGCTAATGTACAATGATGATGCTGAGGACTTCGGCTGATTACTCGAATCGTTCTCCTCTGCATGTTGGACGCCTTAGCGAGATACTAGTCCAACAACTAACCATGAATTACGTCAATACTAATGATCTTATACTGCATTGTGCTTCGAACAGTAGCGCAAAGAAAGCAGTGGTCTTAGCTGCTGCGTACAGCGGAAAAATGCTGTCGCTGCCGCCTCCCTTCTTTCTTTTTCCTAGAGCATTTTCTTCCAATCCCCATTTCAGCTATTTCCTTATTCCTCTAATTCAGATCACCCACGAGCGATTTCTCGACGCACTCGTTTACTTCTGTGCAAAGCGCCCAACATCGAGTGTTGTAACGTGCGTACACTACTCGGTCGAAACAGAAGTGACCGACCCGAGTGACGCACTGCAGTGGTCACGATGGAACTCTCTTGCTACCGGACTGATGCCGCAGCACTCAGTGCGACTCGCCCCACTGCCCAAGGCAGGGTGCATGTAGATCGTGCCTTTTACTGCTTCTA